CTGTAGACAGTTTTCCCTTAGTTGTAAACAGTAACTAGAACAGGACATATGTTTTCTAGCCTTCGGTTATGTCCATCTCCAAAAGGCATGATAGAGAATAAAAAGGCCTGGCTTCATCTCAAGAACAAAACATAGCTGGAGTAGCACAGTGCTAGCCAAACTATCTTCAGGCGTACAGACATCTCGAGCATCTTAAACTATATGATGATGAGGAATTTCTTCAGTGTCAGTTCATTATTTTGCAATTTATTATGATTGTTATTTTCATCAGCATTATTGCTATGTTCATTAAGTGGTGATTAAGGTAACTCAGTAGCATGACAAAAATAGTCGTTGACTCAAAATAACACTAGGCATTACTGGAAGTAAGTGGAGCTTCTCTTGTACTTGAGAGGGTAGGAAGGGCAGAGAACAGTGAGTAAACTGTTTAAGCCACCTGCATTCCTTCCTTCCTTCCTTTCTTTCTTTCTTTCTTTCTTTCTTTCTTTCTTTCTTTCTTTCTTTCTTTCTTTCTTTCTTTCTTTCTTTCTTTCTTTCTTTCTTTCTTTCTTTCTTTCTTTCTTTCTTTCTTTCTTTCTTTCTTTCTTTCTTTCTTTCTTTCTTTCTTTCTTTCTTTCTTTCTTTCTTTCTTTCTTTCTTTCTTTCTTTCTTTCTTTCTTTCTTTCCGTCGTTCCTTCCTTCCTTCCTTCCTTCCTGCTTTCCTTTCTTGCTTTCCTTTCTTGCTTTCCTTCTTTCCTTTCCTTTCTTCCTCATTGTTGATGCTTTCTTTTAGTCCATTGATTCTATACAGCCTCAATCCAACAAGTTATTCAGACACATATCGAAATTTTAGCCCATGATCACTCCCTGCAATTGCAAAGAGCTTCTGTTGCTTCCAGTGGGAGAGTTCACACATGCTCATTTAGGCACTGGGGTACAGGCCATGATCAGCAGATCTTCTTCCCAATCCCTGCCTATTTGATCCACTGCAGGCCAGCATGAGCTACTGCTGGCTCCTGTGAATTGCTACCCCTGCTTCTTATATGTGAGACAAGCCACAGAACAAAGTACAGCATATCATGGGATGAGGTCTGTACCAGTTCCTCTCCTAAATAAACACAGGAACACATCACACTGACAAAACCATCAATTCATTGCAAGTTTAACTTCAGACTTTCCTCATTTAGCCAAGGCTCTAGAACCCACTGCGGTCAAGAAAGTTTTTTCATTTCTCACAGACTGACTGCAGCTTCATCTTTGTGATTCAAGTAATTTCAAAGGATCATAAAATAACCAGCCTATTAGAGAATAGCTGATGAGTCTTCCTATGAATTTATGACTACTGTTTAATTTGCCATGCTGCACATGCAACGTATTATTGCTACAAGAACTACTGTAATGGATTTAGCATAGAAATTACTTTTTTTTGTTGATTCTTCTTTTTCTTCACCTTTTTAACTCTGAGAAATAAATGCAAAATATCACTGAAGATGTTCACCTTAATATCATTCATTTCCAGACTCTATTGAACCTGATGATACACCTTTGGAAAGCACGGAAATAACACAGGATCAGCTGCTGAACTATGAGCTGATGTTTCCCATAGGCCAGGATAAATCCATCCCCTGGAATGGCATCACTGCATATGAAAATATGAAGGCAAAGAGAATACCTGAACTCACGAAGTGGAAAGAGCAGGTAGGTTTTCTTTGCAAACCTTTCAGAGACCATTTCAGTAGATGCTCTTGATTCACAATATGAAACGAAAATGTGCACAAAATATCAGCAGCACTGAGGTGTCAGTATTTTGGGGAGCTGGCAAACAGACTATTGGAATGCCTTCATAAGATGCTTGAGGAACAGGCGAAATGGCTGGAGCAATAATAGCAGATGTGTACACAGACTCCATTCAGAGGCTGAACCTTTCACTGCATTGACTATCAGATTATAACCTGACCACCTAATGTACAGGATCCTTTATTGAAATCTTGGACTTCTTTTGTAGTTTTAGAAAAAAACCAAAAGTGCAAAAGGAAGTGCTTCCACACAGTTATTGATGAAACACCAATGCAAACCAAAATGTGTTTCTCTCTGGTCACAAGGAAACGCTATTAAGTACATGTATGCAGAAAAACAAAAAGCTCAGTAATTAAAATAAGCTTCGACACTGCAAAATCACAGTGGATAGTGGAGGTTTAGGGTCTTTGCAAACAGGTTCATGTTCCACTTGAGGGCACCAGAGAACCACAGTTAGACTGTCCCAGGCAGCAGCACACCTGCAGCACCGAGCTGGGTTAGTAGGGCACCTCAGAAACCCAAGCTCATAATGGTCACTGGCAAAATGGAAGAAAACAAGCAAAAACCTACTAATCACCACTCTACCTTAGGAAGCCTCATTCCATATCCAGAACTGGACTTAATCACTGATTTAATTTGAGCTATTATGCACATGTGCTGTTAGCTTCAGTTGTGATTTTTAGGGCTTCTGTTTTTCTCACCCAGAGCCACAGATAAATCTGTTGACTGGAACACAACAGCTTATACAAGGAGGTGACACAGGGAGGACTTGCAAAAGCTAAGGTTACTTCCACTCTAAATTAAAAATGTTTGTGCAGTCACTTCTCTTCTTGCAGTGATTTAAACATGTTAGGTACTACTGATACACAGCAATGGTGACTTTGAAAATGACAGCCAGCAAATTGTGAAAGCAGTGACTATTGCATAAAGTTCTTCATCCCCTGTCCCACGCACTTTGGGTTTGGGTCCCAGAGCCACAGGATGACTCTATGTTGCTTTAGCGACAGTTCTGTCCTGTACAAAAGATAACAAACACTCAGATGTTTGTTCTTGCACTGTCTATATATGTCTTGCACCTATTCTCTGTATATCAACAAAGCACAAGGCCATGGCAACCCAGAAAACGTGGCTAGTCTCACGTACACCAGTCTCCTAACATGCACCTCCCCATAATACAAGAGACTGTACCCTCTGAGCAGTAATGTGTTTACTTAGTACAGGTTAAATTTCCTTGTGTGGCAATTTAAGGACTAAAATCCTCATGTTTCTGAGGACAGAAAATACCTCAAAGAATGAAAACAAAGGTCTAAATGCAACACCAGAGTTTTCTGGCTGTGCTCCTACCGAAACAAGGAAAATGGCATGCAAAACAGTCTGGTGCAGATTATATGACTAATAAGTGTTTTCAGCTTTTTGCTAGCTTTATTCTGATCACTTTTTGTTTAGCTGATTTCTTTGTGATTTTGGTATTCACACCCTCGGCATGATATTCTTGCAGGGTCCTTGTCAGAAGGAGCTCTACAGAGCCCTGTATAAATTGGTAAAGGCTCAGCAGAGAAGCGGAGGGGAGATTTACAAATTCTACTTGCCCAACTGCGACAAGAATGGCTTTTACCACAGCAAACAGGTGCGTGCCTTTCCCCCTAACTGCTCACAGCAGTGCTGCGACTAGCCTAATACAGCCAGCCCTTTCACAGCCCTCTACTCCCAAACTCAGAAGTTTGCAGCTGCTGGACAAGCAGGTTGTGAACACAGGGATACTTAGTAGGGAGAGCAGATGGTTTGTCCTTCTCTTTAAAGTGAGCCGCATGCTGTGGGCTGACAGCAATGGAGGCAGGAGCCTTTTGCATTCACAGAACAGGTGCAATCAAGGCCTTCTTCAAAATATTTTAACCCTGTCTGCTCCCAGGTCAAATCAAATCCCATGTAGCTGATTTGTTAGCATGTTTCCAGTTGACATTAATTCATAATATCCAACATACTGCCTGTCAAAGCCCATTGAATATATAATAATCACTATATAAAAAGGGGGCTCTCAGCTCCAAGTCAGTGGAAGACTCACATAGGCAGCAAAAAAAACCCCTATTTGGAGCAAAATTAACCTTCTGAAAGCAGAACAAAAATACTGATTTGTCCTGTCTGTGGATTATGTTATTTGCTCATTTTCATTATAGCTTCAAATAAAGCCATTGCAAGTTACAGTGAGAGTAATCTGCAAATCTAACTAAAGCTCCAAACCTCAAGCCACACCCTGTAACCACGGGTCATGCACACAAATTTAGTAGGTCTGCATAAATCTGTGTCACCCAGACTCCTTGTTTTTGGGCATGGCATCACTGTGTGACTCACAAACACTGTGAGCTGGGATCTAATCAAGCACAAACAGAAATCTGTTTCACCACCACCACCACCACCCCCCCCCGCCGAGAAAAACCCCCGCCGAGAAAAGAAAAGCAAAAAAACCCACCTTATTTGCCTCCTTCTGTGAATAGCCAGACCATCCAGTCACTGCTCTCACCCTATCAGCTCATATATTCTGCCATCCTTACGTTTCTTGTGCTGTTTCCTACATTGCTGTTTTCTACTGCTGTTTACCAAGGAATGGGCAGTTTTAAATCTGAAGTTGCTCTTTTGGTAGCTGAAGAAAAGAAAAGCAAAAAAACCCACCTTATTTGCCTCCTTCTGTGAATAGCCAGACCATCCAGTCACTGCTCTCACCCTATCAGCTCATATATTCTGCCATCCTTACGTTTCTTGTGCTGTTTCCTACATTGCTGTTTTCTACTGCTGTTTACCAAGGAATGGGCAGTTTTAAATCTGAAGTTGCTCTTTTGGTAGCTGAGCCTGGATCTTGGCTCCCTAACCAAGTGTGTTGTTCAGAGGCTCTGCAGACCACCGCATTTAAAGCAAGTCTGTGCATGGCAGGTCCTCTGATCCTAATTCTGTCCAATGCCTCTGCTTGCAGTATCTCCCAGGTAATCTTCTGCTTACCATTACTTATTGTGAGTTTTGTTTTGCTAATTATATCCCAGTGCGAAACTTTACTGGATGGAGAGTCTGCTGAATGCTGGTGTGTTTATCCAAAAACTGGCAGAAGAATTCCTGGATCTCCAGAAATTAGAGGAGACCCAGAATGCCAACAGTATCTCAACTCACAAGACTAAAACTAAACACCAAGGTTTTTCATACCAAGATTTCTGTGGGGCCTGTTCTAATCAGGAGCCATTTCACTAAGGTAGTTTTGTGTACCTGATTTTCAGTGTATGAAAATGTACTTTTTTTACTGCACTGGGGTTGCCTAGATGCTCAAGTGACAAATATGAGCAACTGCAAGATCAAGTCCTACAATCCTGTATATTTTATTTGTATAATATTATATATACCCTCATATGTAAAGCTGTTGAATTATTTATTTCACAGTACATGTATTTTTGTCTCTATGTATTGTTACTAATTTATATTCTCAAACACTTCATAACTTTATATGTAAATATTTAATATTATTGCTCTTAAATGTATGCATCTTATGTTGGAGGAATGTTGCTACTTAAGACTTCAAATGGCAAAAATATTGGGAAAAATGGCTTTTAAACTTGCATTTTTGTACTAAGTATTTATGGTTGTAAAACTGAATTTTAAAAAATATATTTCAGTAGAGAGCATGCTTAGAAACTTATTAAAAACCTGTTTTGCAGATACATCATATTACTTTTGCACCTCTGTTTCAATGTCAAGCTGTTTCTTAAAAAAGAAAGTCTAAATCTTGATTATATACTGAAGCTCCTGACAGGATAGTATTTGTATCTGTTTTTCAAACATATGCACTGGATAAATGGCAAAACACAATAGCATATTCTGCACCACCTTTGACAGGTATAAGTCATTCACATGCTAACAGTGTCATATTATTTAAGATGAACTACTAAATAATGTCTTCTACTCTGTCCCTGTGTCTTGCCTACTGCATGTTCCCATTCAACAGTCTGACCTCAGCAGGTCAGCACAAGGGCAGGCAGAGGAAATCAGGCAAAACTCTTGCAAATCTCCTTCCTGGACACCGAGGTCCTTTTTTCTGCAATGAGTTTTCTTCTTTTGCTCTCCCTGCCCCATTCCCCTTCTCCAGTCCTCTCCAATCCCAGCTGTTCTCTGCAAGCCTCTGCCTTGGGCCAAACAGCAGCCTCCAAGGGATGTGATTAAAAGGTTTTCTGGATAGGAAAGCTGGATGCCCTTCTCCACTCAAAAGCCCAAGGCAGCATTATTAGTGCATTTAAAAGATACCATCAAGACTAGAAAAAGCCATTTCCTGCACAGAAAGTCAGAGCTTATAAAAGGGAGGCTGGGGAAAAGCCCAGCCTTACTCCTTTTGCTGAAAGCAGAGAAGAGGGTCCACTTCGTGGGATATAGTCCTTCCCCTCCCCCACATGTTCCTTCGATTTAGTGGTTGCAGAAAAAAAGAGAGAATGCAAGTGACTGCCGTGCTGGCTTCAAGCTGGTTTTGTTCATGGAAAAACTGTTGTGGGAGTTAGCACGTCCCAGAGGTGAAAACAGGCTGCATCAACCCTGCCTAAGAAAACGGCCTGAGAGAAGAGTGATAACATTTTCTAAGAGCCTGGCAGGAGTGAAACTCAGCATAAAATCCTCCTACTGCTTGTTGGCACAAGCTTTGGGTTTTAAGTGGGAGAGGGAAGCAGCTTGTAGAAACTGCAAAACCATAGCAGGAAGATCTTTGCTCTCCGTATCACATTTCTGTGGCATTGTATGTTGGGTTTGCTGAATGTATTGGGTATATCAGCATGTTAATGTCAGCTGATCTGACTGGGGTCTATTAAACTGCACCAGATTTAAAAGTATGGATATAGTACTGACCTTCTTTGTGATGTCTTGACATCTTCCCAAGGAAAGCACTACAAAAGCAGTTGATGGCAGTGGTATTATAAGTAACGAACATCTAACCTCCCTGTAATGAGCTGCCACGAGACCTGGCTAAAACTGTAATACCCGTGCCACATTCCCTGTGTCAAACTGCTTGGCAATCACTCTATCAAAATAATGAAGAAGCATCAAATTTGGATAGAATTTAGAGTCCTTTCATGGAGTCTACTCAGCACTGAACAACTGTTGTGCGGCATTGCCAAGGGAAAATTGTGAAAAAAGGAGGGGAAATCACAGACTCACAGATATAGCACATGCATAAGAGCACTCTGACTGCTCTCACCCCATACACCTTATGTAAAAGTTGATCTCTAAAGAGCAGAAATCGGTTCTTTTTGTTGGGATTATTACATATATATATATAGGGGAATCATACATAATGCTAATAATGTGTTATAGTCAATTTACAGTATAGCAGTTCAGGGGACAGCTACTTCCAGTGTTTTTCAGGGTGACAGGTTCCCATCCTAACTGCAGGAAATTACAGTTTTCAACAGGCATGGGGGTTTAGGAGAACTCTCCTTTCATTGCTAATTATCAGAAGCAGAAGTTACTTTGTAGAGCATTCAGGCTTGCCAAGCCAGTTTCTCAGAGGGGTTTAGCCCCTACCTCCCACTGAATGTAGCAGGGGAGGGGTGCCTCCTTATCTTCAATCTGGCCTCATGTGACATCTTGCCAGGACTCACCAGGACAGACTTCTGCTGAGCTGCTCTGGGATGGGCTGTCTGACTAGGGACAGACTCTTCTAAATACTGGGATTAGGACTAATGCAAGGAGGCAAAGCAAGCAAATTTTATCTCCCCTATCACGGTGCTGCCAGGAGTTTGGACTACATTTAGACCATAGCAGATGCCACATGTTGTGATTTGTCCTAATTTTTATAATCAACCTCAAGCACTGGTGAAAAATCAAAGGTCTGTAGTTTTCCTTTGTTTCAGTTATTTTTTCCTGCTTGTGGGGCACTTTTGGGTTTGCTTTATTTATCTTTTTTTTTTGGCTTGTGTCAGCAGTCCTGGCTTCAGTGAATGCTTGGCTGCAGTGGTCCCACCTGCATTGGCAAGCCAAGCCTGGTGGGAATGAGTGGGCAAACAAGGAAGGTGCCACAGGATACTCTTAGCAGCTCAGGTCACCTGGCATGCAGCTGGATGTGTAAAGGGGATGTATTGTTCCTTGTTACTTCAGTTCCCTCCTTTCATACTCACTTGCACTCCTCCTACTCTACCTAAAAAGAATTTATTTGGTGGGAAGGTCTTAGGTGAGCATCTGTAATGTTTAGTTCATGTTATGTGAGAACCCTACCTACCCATTTGTGCTTCTTCCTGCCAAAACCCTGCCAGGTTTGCTGCTACAGGGTTTGTTCCTGCCCATGGCCTCCTGCCAGCTGCTAAATACTCATAGCACAGAAATGAGGTCACTGCCCTCTGCACTTTATTTTCTACTCTCCGTTTCCCCTAAAGCTGTCCAAGATAACTTATGATCACTTGGTATTGAGCTCTGCTCATACTGAGTCAGTTCTGCTCATCACTTTGGTGTAAGCAGACACACATTTGTGTTGGCTAGAGCTGGCAGGAGGTGAGGGGAGAGAAAGGAGAACAGTGCCGATGTCTAATCCCTGCCCGACCCATCATCATCATCATAATTATCATCACCAGAAACAACTTCTAAGAGAAAAGATCCAAGCTACTCTTAGTCCATGCTGCACACTGAATGGTCAAATCCTATCTATCTTTAGACAACACTTTTGAAGTTGTCCAGTTTCCTCGCCTATCACTCCACTGATAAACCACCAGCCTAAACAGTCTCCCCAGGCTGACAACAGTTCTCATGCTTCCTCTTTGCCAACACATTTCTTATTTATGGATCTATTGTTGTCATGTGTTGCAGCAAGAATTGGGCAGGGATTCAGACTGCACAGGAAAGTGGGGTATGAAGCATCTTAACAAACACAAAATTGTGTTTAGCACATATGACTCTAAGATTTGGGTAGATGGTATATACTGAGTAACAGCAGCAGAGCTGGTGTGAGTGAAAGGCTTCCCTTACTGACATGCCATGCTATATTATCCAACCATGTTTAGGTAAAGGTGGGAGGGGACAAAGGAGAGGATCTGCTGTGAGTACAGCCAGTTTGTTCTGTATTACCAGAAAGTACCACAATGAACAGCAGTGGAGCAGGAGCCCAGACATACCAGCACTCGCACTCTGAGTAATGAAAATAGCTGACGATAGCTCTGTCAACAAACAAGGGCTTTATTTTATTTTCCTTCCTTCCCTCCTCCCTTGACCTACCTCCTCCCCCAGGGTGCAAAGTTCATCTACAAATAAGCTACTGTGAGGGTTTAGGGAGAGGGGCAGCCTCCTGTGGGAGAGATGGGGGAGTAAGGGTGCTCATGGACGTTGAAGCAAGGTTAAATGAACAATTCTAAATTTAGTTCATTCCAGATCTGCCCATGTTTTCAGACTCCCTCTTGGATTATCAGGTCTGAGTGGCAGCATGGGCAGCCCAGCAAAGACAAGGGCAGGTGGGGGAAGGCAGGGCTGTACACACACTTGGCTCCTTGCTGCTTCCTTACCAACCACAGTTCCCATGAGCTACAGTGCCTGACCAACCGACACAGCACTTTCCAGCTCCCTGATGCAGTTTTGCCTGCAGAACATGGCACGGGCAGTCTTCCTCCTGCTCTCAGTCTCCTCCAACTGCTGTTAAGCTAACAAAGAGCAGCCTATTTGTGCCTACACTGAGGTTTTTAATTGCATAGTGACATGTGAGTTTTTTCACTCTCACGGATGGTGGTTTGCTGTTCACCAGGCCGATGTGTAGATACTGAGGTTCCTTGGAAAAGCATCTTAGTGTGGGATGTCTCTGGAGGCCTAGAGCAAATGCTGGCTATATCATCATCTTCTTTCATAAGTTTTCTTTGTCTGCAGCTTCTTTTTATTGCTTGTCAGCTGAGCCTTCACCACTTAGCCTCAGCAAGGGAACAGAAAAAGAACACCAGCAACATGTTACTGGTAGCAGGGTAATAGCAGCTGTGGAAATGTATGGCAGGATCTGAGGGCTGAAGGTTGCATGCAGCACCCCTGTGACAAAGCAATAATCAACTTTCCAGGCTCAGTGAGTTAGGTCTTTTTTACTGGGTGCAAGTTATATGATACATAGCAGACATAGGAAACAAGTCTTCACCTTGAATATTCTCTGTATGGCATAAGCAGGCAAAAATAGCCTCTGCTC